AAATAGCTCCATATGACTAGCGAACAACTTGAGCATTATCAAAAGGTTAAGCTGTTGCTTATGATAAATAAATTTCCACAATGCAGAAAGTGTACAGATGATTGGGAAACGTGAAAATTGTTCCCAAGAAAATACTTGACTTAGTGAATGAACAAGTTATTTCCAAAAACAAGTAGCACCAAAACCAGCAGTAGTTTCCAACACCAAAAAAATTATTGGTAATAACAATGACTCATCACGTTTGCTACAGCGAAATTTACAGTATTCGTGTACCCATGAATGTAATGTAAAGGTGTGAATGGTGGGCGTGCACACTGGGTGCTAGGCGACATCCCAGAGATAATTCTCCGCATCTCGAACACCTTCGCAAATGTGAAATGAACCCAAGTGATGATGAAATCTTAACGCCTTCCTTGCTTATATTACCGCCACCGCAACTGCACCATATCATACGAGTGCACAGTTGAGGAGTTGTTTCTTCCGCTTCGCAATGCTTCTCGCAGCAGGCCTTGAGGCTTCTGGGACTACCCCATACGCTTTACTATCGTTTACTGTCGCTTGACCTGCTCCTTTTACCGTCGACTAGCTATGGCTACTGCATTAATTCCGTGCAAATTTAGTTGTTTGTTTGTAGGAATTGTACAATGATATGCATTTCCTTGGCAAGATAAAATTCGAACGCGCTTTGCTTCCTAATCAAAAGAATCTCGGCAGAAGTGATTTTCTCTCAAGTTCCCTATCAGGTCATGTCACGGTCGCTGTCGTGAATTCCGTTCGACTTAAGCTGAAGGGTCGCGCCTGGTAGAGTGTGCGCGGGTCCTGGCGCGCCTTGCCATCGAAGATTCGCGAAGAGCGCCAGAGAAGCAGAGTGCCAGCGCCCTCCCATGCCCTTAGTCTACGTGTCACCGCCGCCGAGTCTGGCCGTTCGGTCATCGCTTCGTACTCTACCTTCACCACTCCACGAATCAAGTCGTCGTACAACACGTACATGGATCCGGGGGGTGCGTGACGATTCAATCGTGGCAGTAAGTAGGTCGCCGCGCCAGCCGCCGCAGCCAGCAATATCGCGGCGAATTTGCAAAGAACTCAGCATCCAAACATTGGGGAATGTAAGATTAGATGAAGTTTCCAGTCATGAAACATGGAATAGGAACCACCTAACCTTTGAAATGCAGTTTCGTTTTCGCTCGCCATTATTACAAACTTATCCTATCATGCTTATGTTAGAGCCTTCCTCACCGTTCCTCTGTGTCTTGGAACGCAATATTCTTTCCGATTGAACCAGATTATCA